ACAAAAAATGCTATGTGCACCATAGCGAAATTGGGATGGAGAGGCGGCTAAATAGTATTATGTATACTAAGGCAAATTACTAAATGATACATCTAAAGCAAATTTCATTTCAGTCATTAAATTGTCTAGTAAATAATGGTTTAGTGTATATATTATATTTCTTTTACTTATATTATTTTTTTATAAGGAACAGTTCATTAACGGGTTTTTAACGGTCTAATATCGATTAAACCATTAAAGTGTGAGCCAATAGCGGTCCATACTCGTGTTCGGTTTTCACAATGTTGGGATACAGCACAGGAGCTGACGCGGTCACACAACCACGAGAAGAAACTGAGACCTTATGGTTCCACGGCTAAGGCAAGGAGCGGTTGAAGATAGTTACCTGCGGAAGGAAGAATGTGAAACGATGTCGTATCACTGACAAGGCCTTGCGTATCAAGACGACCCTGACCAGAGTCCATGCTTACCACTTGCTCAAACGTCACTTCGCATTTAATGCCCCACACACCGAAGTAAAGCTTATAAATAGAGCATTTACTCCGGTAGGTGAGGGGATCGATTTTCTGACCTTCTCTCTACAATTGTAAACTTCTCTCTCTAGAGATCTTCTCTCCCAATTGCTTGTAACCCTCTGAAGTATTAAAGCGATCACTCTTTCACTCGCAACTCAATCCCTCGTGTCACACTCCTACTTTCAGTTTGACACAAACACACAACATTAGTGAAATGATATATTCAAGTCAAACCCTAATCTAGACATATTAGTAAGAGAGGATGAAGAGATTAACTAAAGGGCTTCTTTTTCCCCATATTTGAGAGATGGATGAAGTCATGTTGCTCTAGGTGACATGACCATTGCTCTAGTAGCGATATAAGAGGAATCCAACATCATAAAGGGAAAGAACATCACATTTGTATCGAAATTCGAGTCTATTTAGGCTTAAGGGGAAGCTAGCCCTAAGTGCCTCTCTCATACTCAAACCAAAACTCCGAGTAGTCGCTCTATTAGTCTAGAATACTCCCAATTATAGTTAGATTAAATAGTAAATTACTAGCTTTTTACCCGACCCGTTGGTCGGATGAATTTAGTTTTATTTATTATATTTTTATATTAATCTATTTTTTCATATTTTCAAATAATTTGGGATCGTCTAAATAATTTATTAATGGGTTGAAACTAATATTTGTGCGAATTATTGATTGTAACATTAGTTAGTTTATAAGTATTTGTATTGATCATACTATCTCTTACTGTTGTCTATATATTTTTTACATCTAAGAAAAAAATCACTTCCTATTGTTAGAATAAATTACTTAAAAAATATTTCTTCATAAAATTTGATATTATTCACTTATTTTTCTATTATATCCATGAAAATAAAATAATTAAGCATTGAAGTATTAATTATAAACTCCAAGGGATTTTCCCTATTAGTAATTTGGAGGGCTAAAAATTTATCAAATAAAGGATTCAAATTTTATGGTCCACAACCATTAGGTACTAATTGAGAAAATACAAAATTATTAACTAATAATTCACTTTTAAATAATATATATCTCCAAAAGCACTTGTGGTTGTTAATAGCTAACATTAATGTATACAGATAGTACAATTGTATTATAATGGACATATCTGAAATATTCCAATTATTTCTTCAAAATTTTAATTAAATAAGGCACTCTATAGTTCAAACATACAATCATTTGTTGTGAAAATTAAGTTTCTGAAAAAGATTCATGATTTTCGGAAATCAATATGGATTTTTTATAATTTATTTTGGTGTTGCCTTTGATATCTAAAAGTCAACACTTATAGATTTGTCTACTATGTCATTTGAAAGATTCTAAAAATTTATAACAAATATATACCACCAACAAATAAAAACTTTTTTGTTAAAAATTTGTGTGCCCATAAATTTGTTCTTAGCTTTGTGCTCGGCTTTTAGCTCGATAGTATAACATATGCTAAATTTACGACAGTCCTTGTGTCTGCCACCTATTTCATAGCATATTAGGTTTCGAGTATCCACAAATATTAGTACACTTTCAACAATTATGTTTATAGTTACACGTATACTAACATTATGAAGTGAAAATTTACAACAATAAATAACTATACTAAAGAAAATTAATTAAAAAGAATACCATCCGTAAAGCTCAATAATTATTAGTGAATTAGTTGGTAATCTATTATCCTCTTGCAAAAAAATGGACAATTACATTATGCTCATCGCTATTTTTGGAAGGTTAGATGATCAACAATAAAAGTCGGGGAATTTCAAGAAGATTCCCAAAGATGTTTCCCTCCCTCCAGGCAAATGATCGACTTTGCTTTTGCTAGTAGAGAATGGAGCTGTTATACCTGCATAAAACAATGTCTCTTGAAATAGTGTTTATTTTCAACAACTTGCACAATTCCAAATTGATTCATAGGTCAACGCGATCACATATTTTATTGACGTATTTGTTGATCATTATAATTAGAAGCAACAAATAAAATGAAAAGCATAGTGATAAAGATGACTATTAATACCATAGACCGATAGACGCATCCCTCTTCGCTACTTTCTGTTGGCAACTACGGAAAAATAGAAACCTCTGGGCCTTCGAGAGACTATTGGCGCCGGCAACCCAGTTAGCCTACCAAATCCGGCAAATGCGAGTGCAGATTGATCAATCTTCCAGGAGGATTGGGCAGGTTCTCGGGGAGGCTACAGAGCGGGTGGAAAGGGGAAATAGAATAGGGTTTGGGATTTTCACAAAAAGGCTACAATTTCCCCTTTATTAGTTGTTCTGGGCGTCGCCCACCAAAGTGAAAACGCGTCTCCGAGTGCCCAGGTGCCTAGATCAATCGCCCAGAGCTAGACTGTGCGATTTCCTCCTGCCCAGCTATTAATCGCGCCTAGGCGAGAGATTAATCGCGTCTTCTTGAACACTGAATAAAAGTGGACCAAACAAATACATTACATCCAACTCATTTCAGTTCCATCTTAACACAGTATCGGAGGCATGTACTATTATTATACAAATGATCTTACGCTCTCAATTAGGAACTAAACGAAGGTTAAATGCTTGATTGGCAAACTAAATCGATGAACCTAGTGATCTTAAAGAAAAAATTAATGATCACATCATTTCTTGGACCAAACTACTAAAGGAAAAAAAGAAAAAAGAGACCGTACATTAGCATAAGAACTCAACAAATTACTTATAAGAACTAATGACATAAGGAAAATGTAAACTCAAACCGTTCTTCCGAAGGTCATGGATTAAATCATTAGTTGTTGATTACATAGCCTAAACTGCAAGTTATATCCAACATAGAGGCAATTTAGAAACAAAAAAGTTAGATAAGAAAGCCGCGAAACACAGAAAAATTGAGTGAACAAAGTGGGAAGTATTGCTTTCAATTAAGCTTGATTATGTTGACATAATGCAGGCACACATTGACGTTGGAAACCTAAACAAAAAGCTTAAAAAGTGGCAAGAGAATTCTTCCCTTGAGGTTCAAATATAGCCTACCTATATGAGTAGAGCCAAGTAATTACCATGATTCCATTTTACACATACCATCTCACAACCAACTGCTGCTAATGCTCTGGTCCATTCCAAACCTCACCTGCTCATATCTCCAATACCATATCACGAAACCAAGAATTATACACAACTAAAAGATCCAATAAGGAGAGTAACTTAGCATGGAACTTTGTGATGGGGGCAAATTCTATGGTCAGTATTAAGCTGTGCAAATTATATCACCTCTGCAAAGCTCACTACTTCCAGTAGTTTCTCACAGAACCAGCTACCGTCCTAATCCCTTCCTTCCTTCCTTCCCAGGGTCAGAGTGTGAAAATGGCGTCCATCTCCGCCAAAACCACAGCTTCTTCCTTCATCCATGCATCTCTCCGTCGCAACCCCTCTCTAGGGGTTTCCTCCGCTCCAGTTCTCGGTGAGTACTCTTGACGCCCCCTCCCCTGAAATTCACAATTACCTCTGGCTTTTATCAATTCAGCTTGGGGGAACCAAGAAATTGAATCGATTGGGTGATATGCAGGGCTGCCGTCGATGGCGAAGAGAGGGAGAGTGGTGAAGTGCTCGGCGGAAGGAAACGGAAAAAAACGGCAGCGGGTGGGAGAAGAAGGGGATGATGAGCGCTTCGCTGATGGCGGCGGTGGCCGCAGCAGCTGCGTCGAGCCCAGCGGCGATGGCTCCTCAACGGATGTGAGTAGCTGGAGCGATTTGTAGCGACCTTCTAGAGGCTGAAGCAGAGAAGAAAGAAGAAGCAGGGTTCGTGGCGGCGGGGGAGACGGTGGTGGCGGCGGCAGTAGTTGTGCTTCTCGCCGGAAGGGAAAGCCTCGATCGTCGACAACCTCTTCGCCACGGAGATAGTTCGCTGCACTCCCAAACGTGATCTCCTCAGTCGCAGCAGAAGCGGGCCGTCACTGCTTTCCGCCACTGACCACCAAAACGTCTGGTCGTCTTCCCATGAACTCAGCAACAGCCGACCGTCAACGCCTTCCTCCGCTGAACACGAAACCGTGACGCCTCTTACCAGAATTTTCCGATGGAAACTGATTCTCCTCCTGTCCTGCGGGTAGGCGAAAGAATAACGTGGGAACCCAGTAGAAAAGGTGGTATTTCAGCCAAACGAAAATTAAATGAAAAATAAATAATAACTAAATGATAACGTGGGAAACCAGGAGAAAAAGGTGGGTAGTGGACGATTCCTAGTTCTGCAATCTGGCGGGGAGTTGTATTTTTTTCCCGCTCAACACCCTGCCACATCAAATTCCTAAAATCACTCTATGGACAGGAAAATTTGAATGGGGGTGGCGGTTTTACTTTTCAGCTATAAATTATACTGTTGAGTCATGAAGTAACAATAGATCCAAGACCCCGTGGAATACGAACCTAACCGTTTTATGATGTCCCTAGCTTTATTATATTTGACAATGTTAGGATAGAAGTGAGTGTTTAACTCGAGTATTGAGGTTTAACTCGAATCCATCCTGTAATTATCACACTAATTTCCTAATTATGCTAACTTCTTTTGTCAAAACCAATTCAATACAAAATTTTCACAGCCGGCAGCGTAAATTACCCGTTATCGGATCAGGTTTATTATTCATTGCGATCCTATTGATCCCCTCCCTCCCTCGTATTCTCCATTCAGTACGAGCGGGGAAGCTTGAGGTGGAGCAACAAGATCAAGAGCAACCAACGCAAAATGGCCTCGGAGCCCCCGCCTTTCCAAGAAGCCGATCATTGCGACGTTTGCCACTGCGGCTTCAACACTTTCCGCCGCCGGGTAAATTCTCATCCTCTTCGATTGTTCTTTCCCGTCTACTCAATACGAGATCATTTTTATCAACAATGAAACTGAGCTGAATCAACCGAATGAGTGGCATCAATGGCAGAGCATATAATCAGCTGCCCTTGAATGGGCGATTTCTGTAGATCAGGATTAGTGAGTATTTTTTTCGTTTTTCCTTTAATAGGATTAGTGAATTGCTACCGGTCAATCGCTTGGATAATCTGAAGTGCCATTCGGTTTGATACCCAAAATGTTACTTCGATCATTCTGTTGTTGTGGGAAGATATCTTGAACCTGCAACATCTGTTTGGTTATGCACAACTCTTGCTGAAGTTACCCTCGGTTTGTTCATGTTGCAGCACCATTGCCGCTGTTGTGGGAGAACTTTGTGTCACGATCACTCCTCAAATCAAACGGTTTAGCTTTTATTTTAGTTACTTTGCAGCTTGGTCGGTGAGGGTTTTCGCCCCGTTTTCTTTGTACTGAGTAGATACTAATTGGTTACCTTTCTTCTTGCATGAGCATTCATCCAGACTTTACCGCAATTTGGAATCTACACCAATGTCAGAGTTTGTGCTGATTGTTTTGACAATGCTACACGGTGAGTCAGTTCTCATTGGAGCTTCTTCTTGGTCTTGTACAAACTTCAAATTTATAGCAACAAAGGTCGAGGCAATTATGTCTGAACTAGTTTAGATAAATTTTTATGGGACCCAGCTCAAGAGATATGAAACGGGGAATACTATTGTTTACTTTCGAGTTTGATTAAAGTTAGACGGGTAATCTCTTGGAGTGGGCAATGTGTGATTATCCTATTTGGATCAATGCAGTAGTTTCTGCATCATTTTAGTTTGTATAAAAACGTGCAGTAGTTTCCGGGAAGGTTTATAACAACAGAATCCCAATATTGTAGTTTAAAACTGAATCAGATGGGCACTAATTTAATGTCATTATTGCAGTTATACACTTGTTTCTTCATTCTTACATGTTGGCATTGGTAGTTTTGTCTTCCTACCTAGAAATCACTAAGATGACTAAGTTTTATCATGTATTCACCATGACAATCACTATGATGATTAAGTTTTTCTCCTTTTTGTTTAAAGGAAATCTAAAGATGAATGCAATGAAGTTTTAAACTTAAAAACCTACAAAGGTTCTCTTTCCTTTTCCTTGTCCATGAAATAAACATGAAAATGTTGCCTTTCTCATCCTCTTACCAATCGAGAGTAGAGTCCATTCCCTGTAGAGGAAACTAACAAATAGGGGTGTTTTCTTATTGAAGGTGGAGTGGAAGGCTAATCTTTTCTCCCTGGATTCTGGGCCATAGTTAACAGAACTTAGAAATCAGGGGTTAATTATATTTTCCCTTATATTTAACTGACAACTGCATAACTTCTTTTACTTTGTTCAACTCTAGAGGGTGACTTTTTTGGAGAAGCTGAAGGAGGGTGATTTCTCTGGGAGTCAGTGGGTGAAAATAGGGACCATGGAAAGAAATCGACACTGGAAGAAGGCTAACTATTGTTTTAGTTACATGGGTTTAACTTCACATGTTTTGGTCAACACTATACTTGGACTTAGACAGGATGAATTTGGAACATATTTTTAAGTCTGTAGTAACCTTTTTCAATGACGGAAAGTTCTCGTTGACCAGCTAATATCAAACTCTTGTGTCTCACTTCTCTTCCAGCTCTCATCCAATGCTCAAACCTCATTACCCTAGGCAATTGAGTCTTCAGAGGCTCTCAAGTATAGTTGAGACTGAACTATTAAGCTTAACGTCCAATTGTCATGTGTCGGGCAGCTAGTGCTTGATTGAAAACCTTGCATTGCCTGAAATCCTGAGTTCTGAATATTGAAGACGGTTGTGGGAAGAGGTGATCTGTTCGTCCGTGGTATTCTATAGTCTGATCATTCAAGACTAGCAGAACGCAGTTATAAGTTCATTCTCACAAAGGTGTTGTCTTTTCCTTAGGTTAAGAGCTCTTTGTTTGAGGGTGGTAAAGTCAAAAAGAAATTACTGATAGTCTGGGGTTCTGGTAGAATCAAGTGGATTCTTAGAGGATATAAAGTCGTCAAGAAGCCTGGATTTCCTGCATTACATATGTTGGTTTCTTTTTGATCCTTGTGGAGCCAATTCTCCATATCTTCTTTCCAAAGACCAGATCTTGTCCAATTGGAGTGCTTGACTGAAAACTGCTGTACTCAGTGCAAGATACCTCCCATATCAATTCATGTTAACCACCTTGTGGTTGTGGAGATAAGGGATTCAATCCTTGAAAAATAAGTTGTTGGGAATGCTTGAGTCCATCCATTTTTATTACCTTGTTTGCATGCTGCCTGACGTTAAATCCACATTTTGTGCTGTCATTATGCCAATGTGTCATCCGTTTATTGGTTATGTTAGGCCATACTTTATTTAGCTGACAAGTTCCCACATACAGCATTGGTATATTAACATATTCATTCATTTCATTTGGCTCAGATCAGGGGCAGGCAATCATCAGGCTACTTCTGATTCTGTGAATTCCATAACAGATCAAGTTTCCAGATTAGGCGTTGGGGCAGAGGTCGAACCAATAAAGAATCCAAGTGCACAATATCAGTCTCATGCAACTGTTATAGATTGCAAATGTGGAATGCCTTTATGCATATGTGAAGCTCCAACTGCAACTACTGAAACAGTTCCACCTCAGGTATGAAGTATATTGGTTTAAGAAACCAACTGCCTGTGGCAGATTTCTTCGCTTTGCCCCCTAAATGACTAAATCTATTATGTTGTAGGCAAAAGCAACGTCAACATCTGCTTCATATTCAAATCCAAAGCCCCGGAAGATAGATGCCATTCCTAAAAATAGAGCATCCAGTTCCAGTAACAAGCCTAGGTTTGTCTTCTTAGCATTTCAAACCTATTTTCTGCCATCACATGAGGAATTTGAGATGGATGTTATGTTATATCTTTAGCCTAATATTTGTAAAGAAACAAAGACTTCCATACTCGGGTTATTTATGTTTGGTATTTGTTTATTTGTTATACATCCTGTGCACTCTTCATTCAAGTGCTGCTGTAAAAGCTGGTGACTTGGAACTCTATATGTGGTTCTGCTTCTAAATTCTCTCAAATATTAACCAAGTTGTCTTTTATGCAGTTCGGTTTTCAACCATGGTCAGATGAACAATGGCCTTGCAGATAAACCTCAGTTGAACTATGAAGCTAGTGGGGAGGTATCTCCTATGTTAAACTGTTGCAGGCATCAATTCATCAAATTGAATTTCTACATCTGTTTTTTATTTATTTTATGAATGAATTTCAACGCCCTTTTTTCGCTTTAAATTGTGTTGCATGTTTATAGGGTTTAAGGGAAGCCATAAAGAATGATGATTCTGCTGCTGTAAGGAAGCTTATCAGCCAGGTACTAATCATCTCTTTCATTAATAATCCTGTATACAATTCCGAAAGCTTGAGTTTAGTGACGCAGCATAAAATTGTCATATTGGCAGGGTGTAGATGCGAATTATCAGGACCGGCAAGGAATGTCTCTGCTACATCTGGTAAGCTCCCCACCACCCACACACACACCCTTCCTTCAGTAGGGGTATATATATCCTTGCTACTTGTTAATGTCAGTACTATTTTTGAACAAATAGTGAATTAGCTTGATGATTTGTTGTTTGTACTCTGTAGGCTGCTGTATTCAACCGAACTGACATTGTTTTTATCCTAATGGAATCTGGTGCAAGCCTGGACTGCAGAAATGCACAAGGTAAATTTGCATATATTCCACATTTGTATCACCTAGTTCTTTAGTCAAGTTGTTAGGATTGCTTGAGTGGCAATTGAACTAGAAAGCCACACAAGGATGGAAGAGGAACACATTCATGAACCACAGACGTTGGACATGTCAATTGACAGTGCATGCTTGTTGGTTGTTGTCAAAAGTCTGCTTTTACAGATTACTTCCAGGTTGTCAAAGATAGAGTTCGTGGGGGTGTCCCAGATTCTCTTAGTTGGATGCTATTATTGAAGCTTGAACATGTCTAGGTCCTAGGAAGGCACATCACGCTTTTCCAGGCTTGCAATGTCTTATATTTACTAATAATAAGCCGAGGGCTTGTTTCCATGAAAAGGACGATATTGAGGAAGACATGTGTTGCAAGGTGTAGGGTGTGGTAGGTCAGGTTTTATTTTCTTTCTTTTGGCTTGGCTTGCCTCATCCTGACCCACACTGGTGGTTTGATAGGGGAAACTCCACTTGACTGTGCTCCCGCAACGCTGCAATACAAGATGAGAAAGAAATAGAAGAAAGTGGGAGAAGGACCCGCAGATCAGCGTTTGAGATCCCTCCATCCATCCATCCATCCTTCCTTCCTTCTTTATATCTTTGACCTACTTTGTGCAAATTGTATGTTTCTCCGAAAGCCACTTTGGATGATTGAGTGCAGCATGACGCGGGGAGGATGTTGGATGTGTGTATGAATGGTCGTACATTCGAGTCTTACCTTCCCCCGAACAACACAAGCTGCTACTGTGCTATATGTTTTAAGCATATCCATGTTTGAATTACAGGGCAGAACCTTTCAAGAACAAGGATTGGTGTTATTATACGTTCGTATTGTATGATATGACAGACCTTAATGTTAAGCAGTTGTGACTTGTGTCATGTGCTGTTGGTTAAGGGTGTTTGGAATTTGGATGGGATGTGAGTCGGATGGGTGGGATTCAGATGTGGAATTGGGGTCTATCTGTCGGGTTCCCTTTCGGTGTCGTTCTGCTTTCTTCTTTCACAGTTTACTTTAATCTACGAGTAAATTAGTTATCTTCCAAAAGAATGACGACATGGATCATTCATTTCTTTCTTTCTTTCTTTCTTTGGCTTTTCCATGCTATGCTGACCAATTCACAGGTGGAAAGTAAAGAATGAATATCTTAACAGCATATTCTCCGACTTGCATGCAATTGGCAATACAGCAATTTCGATTTTGCATCATCCCAACGAAACTGTCACCACTATTTCATTTCCTTTTGTTGTTTCTTCTATGAATCTGCATTTTCATGAGTATGCGTGCGTTTTGCACCAACAAGTTGATCTCTGTATCTGACGCCAGCTGCTGTGGCCGGGGACCAAGCTTTTCGCTGGGGGCTTTCTATCTTTGGAGGAAAAAGGAGGGAGGGGATAGGAAAGAAGACGCGGAGAACACAGCAAGGAAGTAATGCTCTTGCTTTTGCTACTACGTCAATTTGTTTTTATTTATATCAATCCCCGTCTCATGAAAGAATCTTCAGTTTACAACTCCTCTCTTGAATGCTTTTTTTTTTTTGTTATCTATACAAGAATTGGAACATTCATTCATTTCCAAAATCAGTTACAAGCATAATCCCATCATACACGAATAGTGAGTCAATCGCGAGGAGAGATAAGAGAAGAGCGAGCTTGAGAACGAGTCATACAATCCGCTCGAAAGTCCATACTTTGAGGGATGCCCCTACCAACGTCGTCGAATCTATGACTCTACGTATTGTTATCATCATTGAAAAACAACGTAATGACCAACATTCCAAATCACACAAAACTGCCATGACATGTACTCCACAGTCCGCGACCAAATCACACATGACAAATTGCATTCTTAAACTTTTTTTGAATGATTCTTAAAACTAATTTCAATCCTTTAAGAGAGTTTCATAATTGTTGACGATCACGATGCCATAAGCTCTAGCTCCCTCTCCTGAGTTCCAGCAACTTCTCCTCAACGATGACGTCAACAACAATCATAATAATGCTCTACATTTTCTTGTTGATGGAATTCGAATATGAATGAAGATCATGGTTGTCAAACCGGTTTCATGCCGGCCGGTTCAAACCGGGTTCAACCGGTACCGGTAGGAATGGCAATGGGGCAGGTCCGGGGCGGGTTTCTTGGTACCCAAACCCGCCCCATGGCAGGTCGGGTCCAGGTCGGGTAATTTATCACGGGTCACGGGTCGGGGCAGGTCGACCCAATGGGTAAGCAATTTATATGAAAAATATTAGAAATGTTCGTTATTTTTATTATAAGACCATGGAAATAAACAATATTATGATAAATATAGTTAAATTATTGGAGAAATTGAGGTTTTCACTAATTTACAACTTTATTACAGCTAAATTTTGATTTAGTAAAAGGAAAATCCTAAGTAATTTGACTAAAATTAAGTGTAATTTAGGCAAGAACGGGTCGAGAATGGGGCGGGTCAGGGCAGGTCGGGTCTATGAGAGTACCCATGTCCGCCCCGCCCCACCTACAGGGCGAATCGGACCCGCCCCAAAACAGGTCAAACAGGTCGGGTAAAACGGGTCATGTCGAAATTGCCATCCCTAGGTACCGGTCAGCAAGCCGGCTGGAAAGGGGCCGGTATTTAAGTGTGGTCAAATCCGGTCAATGCCGGTCAGTTCCGGTCAAATCCGGAAATTCCGGCCGGTTAGACCAGAAACCGAAATTTAATGTTACACACATTATATAAAAAAATAAACATCCTCCATGAGATTTGAACCAAGTACCACATGTTCATTTTAGTTTAACTTACACACAGGCTATAAGCAATTTTGTTGTCTATATTAACCTTATATGTTATATGTCTAACACTAAAGTTTACACAAATCATTATAAACATTAATAAAATTCATTTAATAAAATTTTATTTTTAAGCATCTAATTGTTTAGTATTAGTTACCAATTCTTAGCTATAAATTATTTTGTGTGAAATAATTCTTCTAATTGCTTTTTCATGACTAATTTATTTGGAATTGAGGATTTCCATTTTTCTCATGTATTTTATTAAAACCGGCACAACCGGCATGAATACTGGTTGTACCACGGTCAGACCATTCCACTTACAAAACCGACACACCGGCATAAACCGGTTTGACAACCTTGATGAAGATACTCCAAATCCCAACTCATCCCCACTTGTCCTCACTCCTCCCTGCTGCTTTAGTTCATAAAACAACATAAAGCAACACTCTGCTCATTTGAAAAAAGAAAAAGAGGAGAAAGCAAATGTGAAAGAAAATGGCTCCCACCGCCATCGTCATCCCCCACTACCACCATCTCCTCCTCTTTATAACCATCCCCGCCTCCTTCACTGAATTCCCCCCCTTCCTCTCCCCTTCCTCTTCCCCTCCAATCTCTTCCTAGGGTTTTCACCACTGTTGCTTCCTCCATCTCTTCAATTGACGCTACAAATGGGCTTCTTCGCCGAAGATTCAGGCCTAATCGTCACCCATCTCCTCTACAAGGCAGCCCTCGTCCTCGCCCTCCTCAGATGCGCTCTCTCCTGGGCTCTCAAACTCTGGCCCACAGCCGCCTCGCCGCCTTCCCGCCGCCGCCCTTCTCCTCAACAGATCAGAGACCGCCTCATCCGCACCACCTTCGCCGACGTCCTGGAGAGGAGGGACCAGGACGAAACGGCGGCGTCTTGTGCCGTCTGCTTGAACCAGATGAGTCCGGAGGACGAGGTGAGGGAGCTCCGCAACTGCTGCCACGTCTTCCACAGCGACTGCATTCACAGGTGGATCGATCACGAAGTGGATGATGATCAGGAGGAGGAAGGCGACGAGAGTAATCACCGGACTTGCCCGCTCTGTAGGACGCCGCTGCTGACGGCGGCCCAGAGCGCGGCGTGGAGCGCGGCGGCGGAGCAGCAGCAGCAGCCCAGCTGGGCGGTGGAGAGAATACTTTACCTTTTCGGGGATGACCTGCTTGTCTCTTGATTATTAATTAATTAATTGATAATTTTTTTTTTGTTGTTGTCATTTTGGCGTGGGAATGAAGTTGTTGTTGCGACTTGCGAGTTGGCCCAAAAGATCATCACTTGATTGATTGTTAGTGGGGGAAGCAATTTTTGTACATTGTGGATCTTATACACAAATTTAGGAATATGTATATATATGTTTATGTCCACCTTTTGAGTAGATCAAAATTTCATGAATGATCGTCATTTTTCTAATCCGTTGGATTGGAGTGTTGTAGTCAATTCCTGTGAAATTAAGGATGAAAATGGGATGCAAACTCCTTGGCAGAACACTAATCCGTCCCTCTCAAACGATTGATCTCTCTACTTTTCCTTCAGTTATTAGTCAATTTGCAATCAAACCTCCGACTCTATTGCGTATCTCTTGCATTGACATCTCCTCTTCTTCGAAAATTTTCTAGTATTATTCTCTTAACATTGTCCAATATATCGTGTGTAAATGTACCTTTGAACACTATTCCAATGGACCATCAAGTTGATTTTGTGGTCATTCATTGATCAATGTTGATACCAAGGGCAGAACCAAGATTTGATGGTCGGAGGACCGGAGTTAACTAGTATATAATTGAATAAAGAAGAAAAATAGTAAGTATAGTAATGAAAAGAAATTTATATGTATAATTTATTTAATAATATTGTTATGGTACAATATGCTATTTGAGATTAAAAAATTACTTAAACGAGAATATTAAATATATTTTATAGATTTCATTTTTGAAGCAAATGAGTAAACTAAGAACAAAATTAGGCATACATTTTAATGAGTACGATGTTTCTTGGTAATTCCATAACTGAAAATGAATGTCGTTAATATTATTGTTTGAAAAAATAAGCGATTAAACAAATTAACAAAAATTTAATTAAAATACGAATTTAAAAATTGAAGAATTTTATTTACCTACTTTGAAAGGACAAGACTTATTAAAAAAGTTGAAATTAAATTATTAAATTTGTTTTTTTTTCTTTTTTATAATGTTAAGAATACGAAAAAATTTTGGCCAAAAAACAAATTTAGGTACAAAAATTAAGCAATCAATCATACAACCAAAAAATCCTTGAAAATACAAATTTAGGTAAAAAACATGGTAAAATTAAACTAACTAGGTAAAAAAATTTGTAGAAAGGGCATGTAAACTAAAAAGTAGAAAATAAAGAGTTATGGGGAAGAACTAACAAGGTAAAAAGGTAACAGATGTACTCTTCTCTGGAAATCGAACCCTTATCCAGACTAATTAGTGATTAGTTTAGTGTAAATTTCTTATGTACTGCCACCAAATTTAATGTACCTTTGTAATACTCAGTTTCTACGTAATTTTTTAAACACATATATTTTTTTATATGTGATTTGAAAATTCTCGAGAGCACCCCCGAGAGGCTGTTCGGCGTTAGGCTAATCTACATCTACATCTACACTACTTATAATACATTTTAAAGAGTTTGATTTGCTCCATTTCAAATTTCCTGCGACGAGAGTGAAAGTAGGAAGGGTATTTTCGTCTACACAATCAATTATTTATTTCATATAAAAATATATCAATGCTAGGATTTGAACAATCGTCTCTTCCATCAAAGACAAGAATTGTGACCAATTAGACTAGACACATTTGTTGTAATTTATTAATACAAAACATAGAGAAAGTTAAAATTATGAAAAATATAGTACTTTTCTATCACGGTTAGTTAGCCCGCTAAGTCTCCTGTAAGTATTTTGTGGTGTTTGATAATTCTATTTTCATATTTTAATAATTAATTTAGAAATTTTTCTAACTTATAAATGAAGGATAATCTTAAAATCTCAACACAAATATCATTGGTTGGAATATTGCGCATTGAATTGAAGTGTTCAATGACGACATAAGAACACTGGTACCATATATTTCAAGAAAAATAAACATGACAAACACCGATACCAATTATCTCGACAGTCTATGCTAAAATTCGAATTTGTTTAATCATTCAATTTGAGTGCTAGTTTAGTCAAATCAAGCAAATAATTCACGATTATGTATGAACAAAAATAAAAACATATGTATTGTATTATGAAAAATGTATTTATTTTAACAATCTAAAAAAACAATCAAGACTTCCATACACAATCCCTTATTTCAGCATTGTAAACAATGAAACAATTTTTTTTCCTTTTTCCAATATATTTTGAGTTATTTGTTAAATCAACTATGTTTCTAGCTTTCCATTCCTAATTATTCACTGCTTCCTACAAACTTATGGGAATGATGAATATTTTTTTCATGTATAATCTATTGACTATAAATGCTGCTTATTACTTAAATTCAACGGTATCCATGTTAGATTTGATGTCTCCAACATATTCTCACAATTTCTCGAAAAAGCATCATATCTTGCGATTGATATCATAGTTTTGTTAGGTAAAGCTCAACAAACTCAATCAATATTCAAACTCTTTGAAGAAGCTATCTACATGTGAATATGAAGTACTGAGTAGCTAAAACTCTACTTGAGTTAGTACGATCTTTTGCGCTATCAATTAAAATTCAATACATGATTATCTTATTACAATTTAGTCATACTAATTGTGCAGTAGGGGACATCTTATCAAAATCGTACCGAAAGACTCCTTGATTGATCAGTTTCAGGATGTAATAAATTATACCAAACAGAAGTGAACAAATTTATAAGATGCTCTCAAAGTTTGCTATAATTATTGAGGTTCAACAACACATTAATCGTAAAGTGGTCATTGGGCATTTGTCTATCTCCTAGCTCGCCTAGACACACTTAGATGTTGTAATAAAAATAGTAATAATGATGAATGAAGTAACAGTTCTATAGCACTTTCATACTTCAGTTCAAATGATTTAACAACAAGCAAAATAACTCTCAAGTTTATAATTTTTTATACCAAATGGTATAATTAATTCATTTATGAGCTGAAACATCTAATTATAAGCACTTAAATTTTTAAGTTAAAACTCATATGATACAATTGTTTGACGAAATGGTTTTTATCATAGAGTGGTTCTATCGAGAGAGGTCTCTAAGAAACATGGCTTACTTTATTATTCCTTAGGTAGATATAATATATATCCTCATCGTTACTTTTACCTTGGATTCAATTTAGTATACTTTTTCGTTTAGATAGAAACATGGCTTACTTTTACAAAGGACGTTGTTCGTCATTTTTAAAACTTCGTTAGTCAAATACATCAAATACTTTCCTATATTATTAATGAAGAACTTATCAAACTAAATAGTTACTTCAAACCCCAACAACATGAACCATAACAAAATATATACTTACACTTATACATGACAACATAAGAATCAAACTCCCCCGTAATCTAGTTATTAAGAAGAGCGCCAGTATGGGGAACATGTCCGCGCACTACCATTCCTCGTCTTCAGCCGCCGCTTCCCCTAACCCGGACTCTCCCGTCTCCGATCATTACCGCGATTCAGCTCTTGTGCCCGAAGGGGACCTGTCCGATGACCCGGCCCACGACAACTCTTCAAATCAACACGGAGAGAGAAAGAAAGGTACAAAACAAAAGAAACAAAATCAATATCATGTCCTGTTTTGTATTGTTTTACGCCGAACAGAAAAAAAAACCCGCCATTGATAATAAAAAAAAATATGTTTTAGTTCTGTTGGTCTTATTTTAGTAACTAGCGTGGCCCCGGTCAGTTGTGCGGAGGAAGGTGAGGTATGAAATTTAATAATGTAATGGGGTGTATAGCTTATTGTTGTATAGTTTTTTTTTTGAAACACGTGATAAAAATAGTGAATTTTAGCAGGAAAGAGACATGAATGATGCAACGAATCAAAAATCGTCCTTATGAACCAAAATCAAGTACCTGTTATCTTGATTTTATAGAAACCGAATTCCAGAAAATCGAATAAAAAATCGCCTATCCCGTCGGTTTTCGGGAAATGAGCATATCACAATCGTTGCTAGCTTTTACTCGGCCCGTTGGCCGATTAATTTGCTTTATAAAACTTTCATCTTGTCGTCATTGTGCTTTCTGGTTTTTGTCATGTCATGATAAAATCTAAGGAAATCAAGAACGAACAACACTATTTGGGATAGGAACCGCCGTTCTCGTATCCCTAGAAAATGGTGGTAAACACGGACTCACCTGCCAAACTGGTTTGGATTGAGATTTTTATCGAGTATCAGGGGAACCATGTGATTATAAATTAGACTTGATCAAAACGGGCCAAAACTTGAGCCGAAAGTGACCGGATCGAAGGACTTGAGCCGCTAAGCTTGAGCTTCTTGTGGGCTGATCACACATTCCGGCAGCGGGACCTGGTATCGAACACGGTCGTAGCAATAGCATTATGTCATGTGAATCTCATTCAATAAAGATTGTGGAAGTTCACAGCCAGACCCAGATTGAACAACAAGAAACCGTAGTGTCAAACAACAACCTCATGAAATGAATCGGAAAGCAATAAGATCGTAAGTGAATCACTGTACCTCTCTGCCGAGCCTACGATTTCTGGCATCCTCGAGGACAAGATCTCTTTCATCTCCCAAAGAGTGGCGCAAATTTCCTCGCAGACCCCGCACTTTGTTGCTGCTTAATGCCTCTACTTCCACCGCCGGCGTGCAGGAAAGCGGGTATAATTGGTTCGGTGGAGGTCAGCCAATAAAATAACTTCAACAAAGGGGCTTGGTTGATCGCTCAACAAATCTCAAAGACAACTCTTCCAATCTGGAAAAGAGCAGTTCCATTGTCTCAGCAAAACTTCTTCCAAACACATATCCATAGCAATCAAGAATCGGAGAAATTCACACGAAAACTATCGAGGACGGGAAACACGAGAAGGACATATTAAAATGACGAATCTTAACTATGGTATATCGATGGAAACAGGTCAAGCGTAGTCAAACCAAGCAGAATCATAGATATGAATCAACAAGGAAATAGACAATTTTAACGCATGAAACCTACACCTAAAAAGCAAAATCAGCA